TCAATTCCGCCAATTCAAGCCTAAATCTACTCCGGACCTCCAAAACACATTTCGATCATGCTCCAAAGTCCCAAATCATCTCCCAAAGCTATCTGAACCATCGGAACTCACATCCGAGCCTTCTAACACATAAGTCAACATCCGGTTGACTTTCCAACTTAAGCCTTCTTAAAAGAGACTAAGTGCCTCAAACCTTCTCAAAACCTTTCCGAACCAGAGCTAACCAACCCGATCACATATAAAGCCGATAAATAAAGCAATAAGAAGCAGAAATGGGGGAAACGGAGCGGTAACTCATGAGACGATCGGCCTGGTCGTCACAGGCTTGTAATAGGTGTTTACAAGTTAGTGAAGTTGAAAGCCTACAAGTGTAGGTCGTGGTTTTTTGATCCCCTTGTGTGGGATTTTTTCACGTAAAAATCCTCTGTGTTCTTTACTTACTGTTGAGCTACTGTGGAATAATTAGAGAACCTGATTCCCTATACTGGTTGGTTTTACAGTATGTTGCTTACAGTGGGAGCTGATAGAGAATCTGGTTCTCTATACAGTAGGAACATATCCCGTGTCTCATTTACATATTGGTTCAGTAGTTAGCACTGTGGGAACTGATATAGGACCAGATCGCTATACAGTTTGGTTCATTAGTATCTTCAGTGGAAACTCATAGAGAACCTGGTTCTCTATACAGTCTGGTGGACGCTTAGTTTCCAACAGAATCCTAGATCGCAATTGCGATATTTGCTACTGATCAAATAGCTAAAAAATGGGATTTTCTCTTATTCTTCAAATTTTCAAAACAAGAAAACCCTAGAGGCGACTTTCCCAAGAACCCTTCTTCCCCAAATCATTGATAAGTGATTCCAACCTTTTTTCTTTCAATTATTCATTAACTTTCATATGATTTCAACATAAAATCTAGTGTTTTCATGGTAGAAATTGGGGTGTTTGGGTAGAATTAGGGATTTTTGTGAAACTGGGATTTAAACCTCAAATTGAGGTCTGATTTCAAAATAAATTACATAACCGGGCTTGGTGGTGAATGAGTAATCGGGTTTTGATCCGAATTTCGGGTTTGGACCAAGAGGGCCCGAGTGTTGACTTTTATTGACTTTTTTAATAATGGCCTAAATTGAACCTTTTTCATTCGTGGGTAGTTCATTCGTGGATCGTTTGGTTGGTAATTTGCTAGATTCTATTAGTTCGGAGGCTTGTTTGAAGGCAAAGCTGTGGTTGAGCTTTGACTTGATCTTTGGAGCGAGGTATGCGTTGTGGTTAACTGTGACTTGAGGAATTAGGATTTGTTTGCCTATTTGCTACATGTTTAGTGTTGGGTACAACGTATATGTGAGGTGACAAGTACTTATGCGTTGTTGCTAGGTTAAAGCATGCAGGTGGGACTTGTTTTTGTAATTTATTGCCTACTTTGATCATGTTATCCATGCTTAGACTAGTTACTTATTATATTGATCGTTCTTACCGCGTTTATGGGCTTTTGTGATAATTGAGTATTGTTTCTAAAGTTTAGATTGGTATTGTGGAACCATTTTGATGTAAGGCTTGTTCTTGTTTATTCTATATCTCCCTATTGTTATATTTTTATTGTTATATGGTAAGGGAGAGTGTTAATGCTCGAAGGGTGATGCTGTACCGTATTTGAATATTAATGCACGAAGGGTGATGTCGTACCATATCTTGAGAGTTAATGCACGAAAAGTGATGTCGTGCCATATTTCGAGACTTCATGCACGAAGGGTGATGCCGTGCCGTATCTATTGATTTATGATGAGAGTGAGAGTAAAAGCACGAAGGGTAATGCCGTGCCTTTATTATTGTTTCATTGTGAGGTTGAGAGTAAAAGCACGAAGGGTGATGTCGTGTAGTTTCATTCATTGTGTTTTATTCGTTTTACTGGTTAAAGTCATATTGACTGTTCTGATTATCATTTCTGTTGTAATTATCGTATCTTGTACCCCTTTTTCATGTCCCCTCCCAATAGTACATGTTTAGCCTTTATCTGTTGTTATCTTGTACGTATATTGTTATCTACACAGGTTATTCACGTGAGTGTCTTGTCATAGCCTCGTCACTAATTCGTCAAGGTTAGGCTCGACTCTTACGGAGTACATGGGGTCGGTAGTACTCATACTACACTCTGCACTTCTTGTGCAGACTTTGATACTGGCCCCAACTGTTCGTGAGGCGTAGCAGCTCGGATTTGCTGACTTGGAGACTCGAGGTAGATCTGCTGGCGTACGCAGACCTTGAAGTCCCCTTCCATTTCCCCTTATTTACTGCTCTTTCATTCAAGACAGTTGTACTTCTTTCAGACTCTGTTTGTAGAAAATTTTAGAAGCTCGTGAATTATGACACCAGATCCGGGTTGTACTAGACATTATTGGCTTTTATGTTATTCCGCACTCAGTTTTAGTTTTATTTCGGCTTAATTGATTTTGTTTATTGAAATTAGTTAAAATTGGCTTAAAGATTCTCTAACGTTGGCTTGCCTAGCGATTTGCCTAGCGAGTGAAATGTTAGGTGCCATCACGGTCCCGAATGTGGGAATTCCGGGTCGTGACAAAGTATCTACACCAGATGTTTAAACCATGACATATGTCATCTAATTTATCATGGTCAATATTATGTATTTTCACTTTAATTTTAACATTTATACTTAAATTATTTGGTTTCATATAAATGAGAATAGGATATGTAAGGAGATGAACATGCATAATTGTGACCCCCTAATATCCAACTTGGCAAACAATGACCACCCTCACATAAGTATTACTAGTACTTATTGTATTTATTTAGCACAATTGATACAGCTAACCGTTTGAGCTTGAAAGGTCAACGAAAAGAACACGTAATTAATAATTTTTCAATTGTATTTCTGGTATTTGCATCATTTACTATTTCTTTTTGTTACTAATCATTTGCAGACTGAAATTTTTGAAGTAAGACTCATTAAATTGAGAGGAAAGGAAGGAACCTACAATGTAGCAGTACATTCAATATGAAAGAAACATAGGGATGGAGAGCGTAGGATATATGAGAACTATCCGAATTCTGTTCTCCAAATAGAATTCTGCATTAACTAGAGTTAATTGGAATGGTGTAAGGATCTGATAATTCATCCTCATTCTCTTCATGTCCATGTTGATTAGACCAAGGGTTCCTAATTAACTTCTGCAGACCTTCAAGTTCACCGGCCACTTCTTTCATTGTAGGTCTATCTTCTCCTTGCAATTGAAGACAGCTCTTCACAAGTTCAGCCATCTTTTGAAATTGCTCAAGACTCCCTTCCCTCAAAACACGACGATCAAGAATCTGAAACAAGCGATTCATATTCATGGACATTACAAAATAATCGGCCAAATTCATGTCCTCACCGTTTCTAGCTCTAATAATAGGTTTCAACCCTGTCAAAAGTTCAGCTAGAACTACTTCGAAGCTGTAAACATCACTTTTCTCTGTCAATCGGCTTGTACTGAAATCCAAGTACCCTGACGTCCCTTGAACTAATGTAGCCACATGTGTTTGATCTTGATAGAAACTAAGAGCCCATCAAACTATATAGAGAAACAGGTTCTTCATTAGTTTCCACAGAAAACACGCACACTGCAGTAAGTAAATAACACAATGGAGTTTTACGTGGAAAACTCCCAGCTCACGAGATTAAAAACCACGACCTACCCTTGTAGGATTTCAACTTCACTACTGAGCAAACTTTAGATTACAACCTATTGTAACCTAGGAATTAACCTCTTAATCCGTCACTAACTTGTAACAACTCTATTACAAGCCTCTTTGTAATAACTCTATTACAAAGACTTACAACTCGACTAACTCTAGCCAAGACACAAACACAAGGGTTTATGATTTACAAAGATTTCCTACACAATGCTTCTAACTAAGCTAAGTAGGAATTACAAGTAGAGTACTTTAACAAAGGTGCAACACAACTAAGGACATGTAATAACTCGATACAGGGAACTGGTCCATTGTTATGTTGTTCTTTGTTCTTGATGCCCTTGAGAGTCACTTGCCGGATGGATTGAACACTTGAGAGAAATGATGAGTTCTTGAATGTGCAAGTGCTTTTGTTTTACCTTTGCTTGAAGTTAATAATTCATTTGTGACATCACTATGTAAGCAAGTTAGGTAAAGGGCATTCCCCATAAAGTTGACTGCTGCACTGTTTTTGCACTGTTGCGTGTGCAGGCAACAGCTTTACAGGTGGGAAGAGTTGACTTGTACAGTCACCATGGGAATTGGTAGCTATTTGTTCCCTCTGTTTTTCCTTTGACTCTGAAGAGTTGAACCGCTTCTCTGACTGGAGACTTATTAATCTTAAGTACTTGAGGATGTGTAACAGGGTCTTTATTTGGTTCTTAACAATAAGTTTGTTATATCATCAAAATATAACCGGGATACACATATGACCTATCAATTTCCCCCTTTTCGATGATGAAAAACTTATAATTTAAGTTCCCCATAAGAGCCAGAATGACAGTCGCATTTCCTGTATTCTCCTTGAATCTATTCCCCATCTTGTTCCCCCTCAATTATTTTCCCCCTTTTGGCATCATAAAAAGATCAGTAGCAGGTATTAAGCAAAAAGAAGTCTAGCTTTGTTAACTCATGCCATATGTGTGCACACAAACATGACTAAAAACAGAACATAAGAGCAAGGCATACACAACAAAAGGAGGAAGCTTTCATTAATATTTGGATATTAAGCAGGGAGCAGTTCCATTGCCACCAACACATCCACAAAATAAAAACAACAAAAAGTACCAGTCATAAACATCATTAGAACTAAACCAGAGGACAGACACAAACAACTTGACACTTGGAAAGGGGACACTGTTGAGGGAGCACTGGAAGGGGAAGGCCCAGATGAAGAGGCAAGGGTTCGAAGAAGGATGTCCATTCGAGCATTAGCTGACATCTGCTCGTTGAGCAGTCTTTTCTTTAGGTCCTCAACTTGTTTCCTGAGGTCAGCATTCTCCTTTGTCAGACGGGGCAACCTTTGTGCTTTGAGAACTGCTGGAACCAGGTGCCTCCTGAACCTGACTTAGCTGTCCTTCGAGAATGGCATTCCTTGCCTTTAGCTTCCTTATCTCTTTGATGGCACTGTTCTGAGCGTTGATCAGCTGGGAGATAGTAGAAGTGCTGCCAACCCCTGCACTCTTAGCAATGCATTCACATTCCTCGAGGGTGGTCTTGGAGAAAGTTTGCTTACGAGTACCCACTTTAGCTTTTCCCAAAGGGACTTTGAAGAATTCAAAGACCTTAGTGAGGAGAAACCCGTAAGGCAGCCCATGATTACCATCCTTGAATTCTGCCACCTTCAGCATGTGCTCTATCATGATGCCAAGCAGGTTTATAGTTGTGTACCCATCCAGTGCTTCCATGAGAACTAGGTCTGCTCGTGATGTAATGGACCGTCTTTCTGCACGAGGGAGCAGATCCTTGTTCACCAATTCAAACAACAGTTGGTACACTGGAAAGAGGGCATTCTTTTGTACCCGTTCCCCTTGTTGTACTGCCTGATCCTTCAAGATAGCATTTCTGAAGTTCAAAGAGTAGGTTCCCTGAATAGAGGACATACCCTCAGTAGGCACGCCTAAAATGGTTCCCAGCACAGCAGAGTCCATCACAAAATCCACACCATTCACGATCATACAAATATGATCATTCTCAATTGTAAATAAGTCGGCATACAAACTGCGCACCTCTTCCTCATAAACTTTAGGACTGTCATTTGTGAACAAATGTGTCCACTGTTGGAATTCACAGATCTCACCAATTGGCGCATTCCAGTCATATCCAGAATAGCAGGGGAAAATGTATGGCCCCACAGCACCTTTTGGTTTTTCAATTTTTCCTTGCCAGCGTCCTGGGTATCACCAACCTTGGTCTTCTTGCAGGAACTAGGTTCATCACTGGCATCAGCCTTCCTTTTCACCAGGTTTCTTATACTCTTTCCTTTTTCTACAGATTTCCTAGAGATTTTCTCAGCAGACTCCTCAACAATTCTTTCACAGGACTCCTCAACCACTTTCTCATCCTCTTTCTCACCAGATTTTTCACCCTCAACCTTTCTCAACTCCTTTTCACTCATAGATGACTCCCTTTTGGGCTTTGGACCAGTAAGTTTCTTTGAGGGCTTACCAACCAAGGAACCAGGTTCCTCTTCTACCTCATCATCAACATCAACAACTAGTGCAAGAGGCAGTATCTTCTCATTTACAACCTTCCCATCTTTCACCAATCTCCTCTTCTTCTTTTTCTTTTTGCTTTTCCTTAAAACTGACTCAAGTTCTTCCTTTTTCTGCAACCTAGTGATAGGTCTCTTAGAAGTTGACCCCCGGGGAGGAGTCTTTCTACTCCTAGCACTAATGAAACATATGTGTCATATTGTCATAGTCTTCTTCACTACCCTCATTCTCCTCCTCAGACAAAGATCGCATCTCAGGAACCACAATTGATAATGGCTCAACATAGAAATGAGGAGAGGGGGTGGGATCAGTATTGACTTGGGGTTCTTATGAAGAACTAGGGGTCTTATCCCAATTAGAACCAAAGGGCTCTTCTTGGGCGGAGGGATCAGGTCCCTCAATTGGTTCCCCAATAGTACTGTCAGGTGCCAAAGTTTCGACACGCACCAGTTCCCTATCATCGACCTCTGCACCATTATCTTCCCCCTGAGACTCAGAAACAACCTCATAACCTCCAACTAGAGTTCCCTCAGCAGCTATTGATAGCATATTTTCTATAGCTTCTTTTCTTGTAACTCCAAAGTAACTTCAGAAGGCATAAGAGGAGCATTATCTATAAAAACAAGGCCTGGGGCTGTCATTGTTGATTCATTACTGGTATGAACCACACCCTGTTCTTTCTCAGATCCTTCCTCCACAGCTAGGCTAGAAACTTCTTGATTTTCTACTTCCTCCACTGTAACTTCTTCGACCATTTTTTTCGGTGAGGCAGAAGGAGAGATCGCAACCATAAATTTCTTGGAAGTCAAAGTTTTGCGACTCCGATGAGAACTAGTACTCGACTGGGTTGGAGAGGAAGCAGAGGGTGGTTGTGACTCTAAGTTAGGGTTTGGAGTAGTCGGAGTGGGCAGTGTGGGCTCTATCACTGACGCTTCAACGGATGAAGGCACAGTAGGGACGACGCTTGGAACATTTTGTGTTTCCAGGTTTTCTGACATGGTGGAGTGCATTGAGTTTGAAGAAGAGAGTGTTTTGTTTGAAGAAGGAAAAAGAGGAATTTTGGATTTTTGATGTGAACAATGGTGAAAGTGATTGTGAGTGGATTTATTTAAGAGGGCTGAGGGATCGGTTAGGAATAGGTGGCAATTTGGGTAGTCGGGTCGCTTCATAAAGGGGCGAGATGCTTGGGTTCAAAAAAGTGGGAAAGAAAAGAAACTAACAATTTAATAATGTGGCACCGTTTCAGCCGTTTAAAAATTGTGCATGAGAGTACAGAGGAACTACTAACCTGTGTCAAGGGAACCCGGTTCCCTGACAGATTTTACAAATGTAAGCCTCATTTGACCAATGTGCAATGCATTAGCTACTTGTTTGCTCTATAATCGTCATGCGTGTCTACCTGTAGCGGTATAGAGATGAGTTATACTTTGCCAGAAAACACTTTTTAGCAATTTTACCTGTACATTTCTTCCGTAGCCAATCATCGAGGGACCAGGTCCTCAGCTTGATTTCATCAACCCTAGTGCCAAGCGATTCTTTTCAAAATGCTCTCTGCTTAGTGCTTTGGTGAAGATATTTGCAATTTGATCTTCTGTGCTGTAGAACTTCATGCATATGTGCCCTCTCTCAACATTGTCTCTGAGACAGTGAAGTCGCACATCAATATGCTTTGTTCTCTTGTGTTGAACTGGATTTTTTGCCATGTTGAGAGCACTGGTGTTGTCACATAGTAAGGGCACACAATCAGAGAACACACCAAAATCTTCTAGCTGCTGCTTGATCCATAGCAGTTGAGCACAGCAAGAGGCAGCTGCCACATACTCAGCTTAAGCATTTGAAAAGGCCACTGAGTTTTGTTTTCTTGTGCCCCATGAGATTAGACATGAACCCAGAAAATGTGCCACGCTGTAGACATGTGATTTTTGACCCTCCCCAAGATTTTACATATTTTAGCATATAAATATTTAGTTTAGGCTTAATATTCGCTATTTCAATTAGTTTGAACTCTTTTACTTTATTTTGTCACAAAAATAAAAATTACAAAAAAATATTTTAGTTTATGTATCTTTCATAAATTTAAATAAAAAATATACAAAAATAGTGCCTTATTTTTATTTTTATATAATCTTGAAAACACAAAAAATAGTTTCATGTTTTAATATAGTTTAGTTTAATTAATTAAGATTAGTTTTATATTTTTATATTATAAATTGTATATAATTTTAGAAGGAAGAGTTAGTTTTGGGTTGGTTTATCCCATCTTAATGAATTTTGTAGTCTGTTTTTAGTCTTGGACCCAATTTTAAGGCCCAAATAACCTAAGCCCAATACCCAACCCTAAGACCTAACCTTCAGCACCCTATACATATACACTCTAGAACCCCAAGACCTAGAGGGAAGCCAGCCGCAACAATACAAAGAATAGACCCCAGATCGCCCCCCCCCCGACCGGTACGTTCTTCTTCTATAGACCTTAACGTAAGACCTAACG